CTCGGATTGCCGGGAGTGTAGATGTGTAGTGAATTTGTTGAGGCTGTGGATCCATAAATGAAGCGATGACAGAGTACCCAATCTGCTTCAATAGCGTGAGGACTTTGTAGAGCACACCCCTCACACAGAGGCAGGCAAGCTCAAGGAAAACGCTCTGCAAAATGAGGGCAATGGTACAGCTATTGCTTTCGCTGCGGCCGAAGGGAACAGAGGATTGGGCAGTCTGAAAGGCAGATCTCTCTTCGAAATTGGTTTTGGCTGTTTTAGAAGGGGATTCAGAGCAAAACTCACAAGAATGCTGTCGGACTGAGCCTGGAAGTGAAACTGAGCGGACATCAGGAACAGTAAAAGCCTTTGCGGAAACCCTATCAGATCCATCACCATGCCTGTAAGGCGATGAGGATACTTCACTTTCTCTGAACAATAGGAGAGAAATTTGCTCTGAGATCCAGGGCTACTTCTAGGCTAGGCATGTGGGATGCAATTATTTCCTCTTTCATCAGCCACTGGAACTACCATTTTGTTGAAACCATATCCTTTGGGTGTAATGATGCCTTTTTTGGTGAGCTCTTTGCTTTGAAAAGGGGGAGGTGAAGGTGGATAAAGTGTCTTCCAGGGCATTCTGTTGATTTTCAGCGGGAAGGAGAGAGCCGTCGTGTCAACCACGGCAAGGACGGCAGTCTTGGCAGGGTTTTTTTGGGGTTTTTTTTTTGGTTTTTTTTTTTTTTTTTTTTTTTTTTTTTTTTTTTTTTTCTGCTGAGCGCGTCTTTGTGCCTCAATAAAACGTGCTAAAAGCTCCACTTTCGGTGGCAAACATGACACCGAGGGGAGAGAAAGTAACGCAATACATAAGCTGTTGGACGGGCCGGGGTGTTGCGTGGGGTGACATGGCAGGATCCCATAAAGAAGCTACTACCTCCTCCAGTTAGGAGAAGAGAGCAGGTCCCACTCAAGTAGTCCTTCCTCTGGGGGATCTTCCGTCGTTCCCGTTTCTATTTCCGGTCCTCTAGATTGCTGGAGAAGCAGGGGTGAGGTGAAACATCCCTTAATATTTCTGTCGATGACGTTTCCAGGCACAGAAGCATTAAGTATCTGCAGCCTTGCTGATTTCATGTAACCCCCCGCCATAGCAGGTCGCATCAAATATTGACCTCAGGCAGGATTGAAACAGAAATATTTCCTGCCAAGATCACAGAGCATTCGGATACCATTTGATTCGGATACCGTTTTAATTATTAAATACGTCAGAAATTAAAAATTACAGCAGTAAAAATTTACAGTACTACAGATGCAAATGACAGCGGAAGCTCTGGGCATGAGTGATGTGTCTTTTGGAAAGATGAAGTCGTGGGCAATATCCAGATCAGAGATCTGAGGACAAACCCCACCCTTTTCCTCTTTATTCTGGAGGAAAAGAAAGGTGACAGCCGGGCAGCTCCAAAGGGAGTGGGGAAGACCCCCCTTTTCCCGCGGAGAGAGGGTCACTATGACATTAGAGGGATGCTGGCGGCGGGAGCTGGCGCTGCCCCAGGGAGCAACGAAAGGTGTCGGCACCCCTTTGAGGGGCGGCAGGGACGCTTCTTTCGTGCCCATCCGAGCCGAGGGCTCACAGGGCTACGGACATCGGGGACCCCGGCCCGTTCTGGGACGGCCGGAGCACTCCGCTTCCCGGGACTCCCGGGGATGCTGCGGCGTGGAACGTGAGAGCCGGTCCCGCTCGCCTCCCCCAGGGCGAAATTCGCCTTGGCTTCGCGACGTTTGCAGTAAAGGCCAACGAAATCCTGCTGCCCTCGCCATCGCCGGGGCTGTCCGGCCGCGGGCAGCCCGCCCGGGCCGGTCCTGTCCCCCCGGCCCTCGGCAGGCAGCGGCGGGAGCTCAGCCTCGACGGCAGCAGCACGTGGAGCGCCGGGAGCGGCGGCGAGGCCCCGGCAGGAGACCCCGGGATTCCCGCCCGGAGCGCCACTGCCTGGCTCCGTCCCGCCGGCGGGAACATCGCTCCCGGCCCCTCCACGGGCACCTGCCGCCGTGCTGCCGCCACCCCCTTCCCTGCTGCCCCATCGCCCCGACACCGCTCATTCTGAGACTCGTTGTTGCCTTCTTTCCCCCGGCACTGGGCTTGCAGCTCGATGAGATGCAGCAAACGCCCGGTTCCGCCCAGAAAGGACGCGGTGTGTTGCCCGCCTGGCGCATCTTCCCGGCTTCCGACGTGCCCTTTTGCCGGGCTCTCCCCAGGCTTGGGGTAAAAAAGGATCAGCGGCTGGGAATAGATAGATAATAGGGGATTAAAAAAAAAACAACAACAAAGCAAATACTTTATTAGTGCCAGCCCGACTATAGTGTCGGCAACTATTTCAGTGTAATTCTGCCCCATTTTGTCCAAAACACAGCTGTTTGTGGAAAAAGGAGCGACAGATGCTGAAGTGCACGTATAAGACGTTGCCGACAATACCTCCTTTCCAGTGTGACGTTTTATTGAAGGGAATGTTTCCGTCTTCAATCAACAAAATGAGTGTGGTTCTCGCTGCCCCGGCTGATATATGTATAGAAACCATTTGGATGGAATTCGCAAGGTTATTCTCATCATCATCGTCATGATCTTCATCCTCCTCCTCATCATCATCATTCAGCATCAATAATTTTTTCGCCATAATAACCGGCCCGTGGTTTTAGAATAAAAATTAACTCCCCGAAAAGAAACTGCACGGTTTGATTTCTTTATACGACTTTTCTTCCCCTACACAGCACATCTGTGGATAAAGTCAGTTTCGACCTGAAAATTATGGAAATTGGCAAACCGTCTTCGTTTCAGGTGGAGTTGGTCAAACTTTGCCAGCACAAGTCCGAAGTTTTCCAGTGCCAACTTTTATTTGCATTTTTACAGTTCGCTATCCTCCTCCTTCCCCCCCCCACAGGTACATCTTTAAAAGCAGACGCACATTTAAAACACCTATCCGAAGCGGGACAAATGCTAGAAATAAAACAATCAAAGTGGCTTCTCGTTCTGCTGGTTTCACGCTCAGCAGAGCTGCCCCAGCCACATGTCTAGCAGGGAAAAGGGCATTGAGGAGATGTACATCTCTAACTCTATATATAGGCTTGCATGCACGCTTACAGAAGTATAAATACGTCCATTTTAGAATCTTAAATAATTATAAATAAGACGGTTCTGGGATGTAAATAATCGTTGAAAAGATTAAGCTTCTGTCTCTTGTTAATCGAGATCAGCGTTTCTCGAAAGGACATTGACTGCCCCAACGTCTCTGCTGAACTTGCAGATGAAAGCGGTTAAAGCAACCAAACCCCGAGAAGATTTTTATCGCATATTGAGCGGTATCAAACGTTTTTGCACCAGTTCTGCAATTCCCAATCCATCTGAGGGCATATTTCGTTGTGTCGCTGAGACACCTGCACCCATGTTCTGGGACTGGTTAATTGGAGGAGGTGTTACCAGGGCGTTCGCTAGAGCTCTTAGCCAAGACATCTTCTTCGGTCAATAGCCGATTAACCTGAGACGAACATTTTCAGACCGAGGACACTTCGGAGCCTGGTTCTTGTTCGTTTCAGCTGCATTTCAGTTTTAGTGTCTTCGGTGCGCGTTTATTTCTCGGGGCTCGTTTTCAACCCTCAGCCCCGGTATCCGCAGGGCGCGTATTTCACCATCGCTCTCATCACTTCCGAAATCAAGGACAGACGCCCAACAATGCAGAGGAAGAGCGATGGTCTCCTGCATTGGGGCTGCTCAGGGCTCAGGGCTCAGGCCCGTCGGAGAGGGAAGGGTCGAGCATCTCTTTGCCGCGGTGCCAAGGGGCAGGAGTCGCTCGGCTCAGGGGGAAGGCGGGGGAGAGGCAACAAACCTGCCGGGAAACGCCTCTTCGGACTCACATCTTCTCGGAAACGAGAGAAGCAGAGGGAAGAGGGGAGACGAAAGCTCTTCCTGCGGGGGTGGCGAGAGGTGTGGGGAGCCGGGAGCCGCCGGCAGCCGCCCCCCGCTCTCTCCCTACAGTGGCTGTTCCGCACTGGTCCTTTCCCGAAACCCGACCTCGCCAGGAAGCTGCGAGTGTGCATGTCTTTATTTCTCACTCAGTAAGGCTATGACTACATATATGTTCCTTTTTTCTTGACGTTGCTCCTGAAATCGAAGCCTAATTTTTAACATCGGGGGTACAGCAACAGCCAAACCCCCGCCGAGGCTGGAGGGAAGGCGGAACCCTTCGGTGGAACCGGGACAGCAATAAAGCAATTAGCCGAGAGTGGGGCTGGAAGCTGCCAGCTCGTTCAGCCTCTCCCAGGGCGAGCTAAGGGTGCCACGGCAGAAGCAGGGAGCTCTCAGCCCACCGAGCGCTGCTGGGGGGGAGTTAAAAATGCCCCCACGGAAAGCGAAATGAGCCCTTGTCGGGCGAGACGTACGGAGAGGGCTCAGCCAGGGAGCACGGATTCATTGCAGCCCGGGCTAGATCAGTGTCTTTCCATTGTCATCCTCCCCCTAGGAAAAAAAAAAAAAAAAAAAAAAAAAAAAAAAAAAAAAAAAAAAGGAGAGGGAGAGAAAAAAGTAGGCGGATTGCAGTGACTGACTGCCCAATGGCAGCCCCGGGCCTCAGGAGAGTTACAGAGAGAGAGGGAGAGAGAGAGAGAGAGGCACTTTCTGCCATCCAAATCCCTTAAACCATCCTCATTCCGACACGAGAACCCACTGTAACAACTTCCAACCACTGAGACATGACAGGCAGGAGCCCAGAGGCAGCAGCAGCAGCAGCGAGAGCAGCAACAGCAGCAGCACACACTCTGCACAGGGAGCAGCATTAGCACCAGGGGAATACTACACACAACAATACAAACAAACAAACAAACAAACAGACAAAGCCCCCCCAAGCCCAAGGGACTGGATTCCAACTCAGATTCAAGCCACAGCTGACACCAAAAAGGGTGGGGAATTACGACCAGGGGGGGCCAGAAAGGAATAACCAAGGAAGCGAACTCAAGAGTGTAAACGGGATTCAGCCATGATCCTTTTTTCATCTCGCAGTGTATTACTCTCAGTGTATTACCCTCAGATTTTCCTCATCCTTACCAGTGGGAGTTACCTGTAAGTGATCCAGATTTTTTTTTTTTTTTTCCAAATACTGTTTGCAATGCCCCCGCTAGCAGCTACCTAGGGGCAATGCGCAGAGCGAGCAGAGGGAGCCGGGAGAAGCCAGCACGGGCGGCAGCTCCGTGCGGTGCGTGGTGGTGAGGATGGTGGTGGTGGTGGCGGCGGAGGAGGAGGAGATGCTGTGCTGGTGGCGGTGCTGGCGCTGCTGGTCGGACCCCGCCGGGGGAAGGGACGCACCGCCAGGTAACTCCCGGGGCTGCCCCGCCGGCGAGGCCGGGGCCCGGCGTGCCCGCAGCGGGGGCGGCGCACCTGGGAGGGCGGCGGGGCAACGGGACGCGGAGCGGCCGGCGTCTCCCCTGGGGACTCCGACCCCGACTCCTCCTCCTGCCAAACCGGAGATGGGCATCGCTTCGCGCCCGTCGGGGGAAGGCTGTTTGCGTGCCGAGGTCCCGGGGAGAGCGGGGCTGCCGCAGCCGGCGGCGAGCGCCCAGCCCGGGCCGCCCGCGGAGAGTCCCCGCCGCCGAGGCGCTCGCCGGCCGGCTGCTTTCGCTCCGGAGGGATCTCCAGTCCCGCAGTTAGAGCTGGCTCCAGGACTTTTTCCTTGTGAGGAAGGGGGTGGAGGTAGGGGTGGGGGAAATGAGAGTCGGTGGGTGGGACTGCGAGGAATTTCGGTCTCTTTTTTTAATATCTATATCTGTATCTATCGTTGCGGTGGATAAGAAGCGGCTGGGCTAGTCCGTGAGGGCTGCGGAGAGAGTGTCCGCCGCCGTTCTCCTGCAGGTCCCCCGGCAGGTCTCTGTGCCCGCCGGCCGCCGCGTTAGGGTGGCGGGGGTGGTGGGCCGGGGTCCCGTCCGGGACCGCAGCCGGAGCCCGGAGGGGCTGCCGGGGACCCGCCAAGGGCTTCTGTTCTCCTGCGCTGCGGAGGAGAGCTGACCGCGCCGCGGGGCAGCCGTGCGGAGAGGAGGGCGCTGCGGCGGCAGGTACCCGGCGGAGGGAGCCGCTGTGAAATCGGGGAGCCTTCTCCCTCCCTTGGGCATCCCCCCAGCCCCGGGGCAAGAGTGCCGGAACGCGGGGGTCGGGCCCGGGGAGCTCTGGGGCGCTCCGGAGCCTGCCCAGGCTGCCAGGGCTGCGGCAGAGGGGTGCACCCCGGTCGGTGATGGGGAACCCCGTCTCGGCATCCTCGGTCCCGCATTTATCTCGGTTGCCGGGGCCGGACAGATTTCCCTACCCTCCTATCTCCAAGCCGACCTCAGTTTTTTGTGCCCCCGAAGGATGCGATTTTGAGGTCCTATCCCTGAACTGTACGTGGATTTATATATATTTGGGTTTTTTCCCTCTCTATTTGCGCACAGGAGCACATGCACATGAACAAGCACGTGTGCGTGTGTTCCTCCGTGTTGTGTCCGTCTGTTTTCTGTGGGCTATGGAAAAAAACATATCCCACTGCTATGGGAGAAAAATAGGAACAAACACGCCCATAAAAAGAAACTAAAAGCCTATTTCTACATTCTTAATTCTTAATGAAATGCACATGTCTTGGCCACCGATTTTTAAAAGCGCTTAGATTTATGGAAGCACGTTAGATTAATTCAACCAGAGCTGCCTGTTTCTGTTCACAGGAGGGAAATGTCTGCTGCGTAGGTGACCGATAGCTTGTAAAAAAGCTTGCCGTGCTATCTTTGGTTGGTTGGGGTTTTTTTTTGTGGTTATTATTTCTTTTTATACAGGAGGAAGGAGTCGTAATAAATAAATAAATACACCCTTTTAATATAAGCGTAGCCATATTTTTCTCAAAACCGTAGGAAATTACTATCCTACAAAGTTTTCCTTCTATAAATAGTTCAAATCTTAAAACAAAAGTTTGCAACCGCACACCAGATGCTGGGATGCTGGCGGTTTCCCTTGCTGTGTGACATAATTATAAGGTCCGAAAGCAAAAGCTATAGAAGTATAATAATAATACTAAGGCGACTGCTGAGGGGAAATACAAGGGAAGCAATGCCTGCTTTATTTAAAGCCAACTGCTTGTGGATCTTTTGAGCACTACCCCGCGACAATGAGAAGTTGTGGTGGATAAATAATGCTCTCTCGCCTTTCCCTGGGCCGTCCCCAGTTCATCCCCTCCGCGGCAGGTCACTGGGAGCTGGACCCGCGGAGCTGGAGCCGAGGTGGCTATTGCAGCCCAGCAGAGCAGAAGCGAAAGGGATCAGGAGGTGAAACCCAACAAAGCGGAGCCCCAAAGCGACGCCCACCTCCCTCCATCCATCACTCCGGAGGGACGGAGCCGGCTGCTTTCCCGGGGAGAAAGCAGCGCGCACGGGGCCGCTGGGGACAGGGTGCCCGGGACCCGACCCCCATCCCCCTCCGCTTCTCCTCCGTGCCACCCCCGGCACCAGCCCCCGGCCACACTTGCTCCTTTTCCACTGTGTCCCCCCCATCCCTTCCAGAGAGCGGGGGCAGCGGCGGGAGAGCTGCGGTGCCTTGCCCCACTCCCCGTAGGAAGTGAAAAGAAAGAGGAGTTATTTCAGTGCTTAATGGAGAGTAGCCTACTTGCGGTGTTTGTCTGGTGGGTAAATATACTTCTCTGGCTTACTAATGGTAGCTTTTGAAGATTAAAGCATAGTAGAGTCTGTTGGAGCATTATCTGCGGGTGTCTCTGCTACCCTCGCTCTCCGGAGGGGAGGATGCTTCCCAAGCTGCTGTTTGGTGAGCTCTCAGGACTGTCAATGGTTATGTTAATTTCCCCCGAGATCTCTATCATCTTTTAGCTATGGGAACGACTCCTTGGCTTCTGCATTGCTGCTCCTTCAGGGACAGAGGGGATGAGTTTCACCGGGCAAGCAAATGGAGTGCAGGGTGTCCGTGCTCCGTCTCTCTTGGTGCCGGGAATGCAGGCCCGGGGGAGATGGGGTGCTGCCCTGTTATTCTGTGAGAAAACCTTTCAAGCAAAAATCCCATCAGATTTTTCTGAATGGAAAAGCCAATGGTGAAATGAAATGAAATGAAATGAGCACCACACCCCAGTATTTTTTGTGCAATAGTTGGGAAGAAAGTTAAATTATGGTCAGCTACATCCAAAATTAATTTAAAATCCGACTCCTTTATAAAATTTATTTCTATATTGTAAGTGTGCTATCTGATAAAGTAATCTTTTTCAGTGTGCTTCCCTGGTAACCTTTGGCCTGCTGAGGCACATTTTTACAACCAGAAGAAATTAGTGTCTTGCTCTCTGAAAAAGAAAACTGACTGTGGCTCCAATAGCTGATGCATTTTAATGCTGGACGTATTTTGATAATCCAGTTAAATATTTAAAGTATAAAGCTGCCATTAAATAATATCAGTGTAATTAGCATAAATGTCTAAACACCAGGATTATGCAGAACACTGGTACTGTTTCTTGCAGTGCCTGTGAGAGTGTGCATGTGTCTGTACACATTCACATATTCAGCTGCTTCTAAAGAACGTGGTGCTTGTTGGTTTTCCATTGGTGCTCCCCTTTCACTGTTCATCTTATTCAGTGCAGGATGCATTCACCAGCAACATGAGAGACAGTTCTGAAGAAGCTTATTTAGGGATTATCTGCTGGCACATAGATACAGTTCATTCAGTTATTTGCTATAAAGTGATTTGGAATTGCTCTTAAGATAGTGTGTGCATATGTAGCAATAGCAGCACAAATGTTCAAAGAAGATATGTTTTCTAACACCATAGCACAGCAAATAATTTATATTGGTGAGTAGATATCACTGCTTGATTAGGAAATGTAGAGGAAGAAAAATCCTCTGCATGTTTTTGCATTTGTTCTGCTGGTGCTTCCACATCCTTACAATTCTGTATCCTTAACAACAGGGCTTCTCAACACTGCTGGGAAACAGACTAGAAGGGATGCAGGTTGTTGTATGCCTACAGGAAAGTGGTCATGCCTAATCCCTAAAGATCAGGACTGCTGGAGAGAGTCCCTGGTGTTTGCTTCTTAATCCATCAGTGCTGGAGGGAGCTGCACAGGCAGAGAACAACCCAGCTGCTCTATGAGGCAGAGCCTTCAAGGGGACAGTGGGCACAGCTTCACCAGCAATGCCAACCAGCCTGAATGATGCTGCCACTTCAGCTGGTGCAGGCAGGGTTGGACAGGCTGGCCCACTCTTCCCATCCTGGTTAGATCAGGGCAGGATCAACCTCTGTGATTAAACTGCCTGTTGTGGGGATGGGATTGCCTCAATCACTGAGCTGCAGTGTAAATCCATCATTTCCCTGCTTTTGCACCTCGTTCATTTTATAATTGAGACTTTAGCTTGCTCGCTCAGCCTCTAGTTATGCAGTGTACAATGCCCAAAGAGAGCTCTGCTGCTATATTCTCCTTTTATGTGATACTGTAATAATGATTATCTATAAGAGGAATTCCTTCCACTTCACCATCCCTCAAAGATGTGTTTGCTTATAGACAGAACAGGTCAATCTTCAGAGTATCAAATATTTTCAGGCTCATCTAAAGCTAATGCTTTTGCTCAGCTGAATAGAGAAAGATAAAGGATATTTTTATGCTGGACTGCCATAAGCTTGGTTTATGTGCCCGGCACAGGAAATTTCCATGTATTGAAGCAGCTACACAAAGATGGGAGAATGATTGTGATATGATTTTTTTGGTAGCTATAGGAGGTAAAGTCCAGCATTTCACTGTGAGACCCAGAATAAAATTCCCTGTCTAAAATCAGAGAGCTCTGGTAAATCTGGGATTGTCCACTCCTCTCCTGCCAAGGTCTAGATCAAGCACTGTACTCCTGAATATCCTTGAATCCAAATGCATTTGGATGAAGGCAACTCTCTCAATTCTTTGCAACTATCAGTTCCAGGAATTAGATGTTTAGTACACCTTGAAATTGCAAAAATAATAATTACTTTAGAAATTACAAGGAAAGGTGGCAGCATCCAGAATGTGTAGGATGACAGCATGGAATGCTGTATTATGTAGTATATGTAGAAATACATATGTTGTA